GCGAGATCTGCGAGGCAGCGAGATCTGCGAGGCAGCGAGATCTGCGAGGCAGCGAGATCTGCGAGGCAGCGAGATCTGCGAGGCAGCGAGATCTGGAGTCCTGGTGTGGGTTAAGGCGCCAGACTCCAAGGCCATTTTAAATATAAGAAGTAAAAAGCATCATCTCTCTCCCACTGAGGGTCTGGTGGATACGAGCTGCTGACCGTGGGGTTCGCAGCCAGATTCTTAACCACTACACTACCAGGCCTTACACCTTCAAGATGGCGGATCGGGTAGAAGTGTAGTGAAGAGCTCGGTCAACAACAACACAGAATACCAGGCCAAGAGGGCTCATGAGATGGTGCTGGAACGCTGGAACAAATATAAAGGTATGTTTGGAGGATCGGAGGGTTTATAGCTGGGGAATTTGTAGGAGAATCAAGAAATCCATTATTTTCTGGATCAAGACACTCAGCTGTTCCAGGAGCCGCCATCTTGGGAGAGCATATCTTGATTGTATCAGGATTGATAGGCTTAGGAGAGAACATCTTGATTGTATCTTGATTATAACAGGACTGTATCAAAATTGACCTAGAAATTTAAAGAGACAGTATAGACATAAAACCAAACGGCCACCACTCGTCTTTCTGTCGTGCTGTGGTGGCTTGAGTTGCTGTGATTCTGAGGACTATGCCACCGGTATTTTAAATAACCAGCAGAGTCACCCATGGTGGACAGGTTTCAGATGAGCTTCCAAACAAAGACAGACTAGGAAGAAAGAGTGACGAACTACTTCTGAATCGCTAATCACTGAAAATTCTATGAACAGCAGAGAAACACTGTCATATACAGCAGCGGAAGGTGGGAAGGCACTCAGAATGTGACTGGGGAAAAAAATGCCTCCTCAAAGTAGAGTTGACCATGATGACGTGAATACAGTTAAGCTCAGGAGAGAAAAGCTCACAGAAACCTTCATTTGCTGATGGGCCACAAATCAAAATGAAGAGAAACAGCTGTAAACATCTATTGAAAATTTGAACATGGAATGTACGAACTATGAATCTGGGAAAATTGGAAGTTGTCAAAAAATGAAATGGAACGCATCAACATCGATATCTTAAGCATTAGTGAGCTGAAATGGACTGGTAATGGTCATTCTGAATCTGACAACTACATGGTTTACTATGC